ACCTGGGTGTCTCAGTCAGTTAAGGGCCCGACTTCGGTTCAGGATATGACCTCACGATTCGTAAGATCAAACCCCGCGAGGGGCTATGTGCTGAGAGCTTAGAGACTGGAGCCTGTTTCTGATTCTGTGTCTCCCTCTCTTTCTGCCCCTTCCCCATTCATGCTCTGCATCTCTCTCCCAAAAATAAACAAACATAAAACAATTTAGAAAAAATAAAATAATGTAATGTTAACATTCTTACAAGTGCCATCAACCTCCTTTTCTCTGCACCTCAAAACACTTATGCTTTTTCAAAAAAAGTTTATTTATTTTGAGAGAGAAAGGTAGGAAGGGGCAGAGAGAGAGAGAGAATCCAAAGCAGGCTCTGCCCTGTCAGTGCAGAGTCTGACACAGGATTTGAACTTACACACTGCAAATCCATGACCTGAGCTCAAGTTAAGAGTCAGGCTTAACCAAGGGAGCCCCCCAGATGTCCCAAAACATTTATATTTTTAAGAGCTGACAATGCTATTGGCAAGGAAATGCCAGACCAGAGTATTACTACTTTCCTTCTATCATGCAGAGGATCGGAAAAAAAATTGTATGTAAATGCTCCACTAAACTAAAAACAGCGTAAACAGTTGTGTTGGGGGTCGTACTGAGATACTGTCTTCTTCAAATATAGAGTAGGCTGACCACACAATTTGTGAGCTGTCAGTGAAAGCACCTGGACTATCAGGTTGACTGTAGTAGTGGAGTCTTCTTAAAAGTCATTGAGAAATGATCATGACCCGTAGTGAGAACATACTCCTGAGCTCCACTTTTGTCACATCATGGCAGCCTTTTGGCAAGATTTATTCTGCACTGCTCCCTATAGGAGCTGGCACTGTCTGGCTGGGCATGGTTCTGCCTGCCTTAAGCTCCCACCCTTCCAGGAGCTGATGTTTCCCCTCATCTGTCTCATTGCTATTTTGGTAGTAATAATGCAAGGATGAGGGGTGTATGCAATCTGCAGAATTAGAACCACTCTTGCCACCTTGAGCTAAAATAAGATGTATTTGTCTTTTTTACTCTGTAGCAATTACAATAATGAAAGTTAATAATTTCTGCTGTTTTTGATGTCTTCAATAAAAGGGTTACTTTCCAGTATGTAATACACTCTGACATGAACGCCAATATGTTCCCAAATTCCTTGAGATAGTTCAGGACATCCTCAAAGCTGCTCTGTCTAGCTGTGGTTCCAACATGCCCAAATGATTGAGGGTTTCATCACTGTTACTAGAATTCTATCACAAGGCAACTAAAGAAGTTTTGGGGAGACAGAGGGAAGGGGAATTTGGACTAAAGTGAAAACATATCCTTGCATTGCTCTTAATGATGCTCTCAATTATTCTACAGAATACTAGACTCTTCCTGTTCCTCAGTTACTCATTCTACAAATGAAATGCACTGTTTTCTTGGCGATCTAGGGCTCAGTTTATCTCTTTATAAATGTGTGATTAATAATAATTTAATGAAGACTTACACTTATAAGTATCTTTAGGAAAAACAACAAAACCCCTGAGGTTTTAGTGCCCAGCTTTAAAATCTTTCATGGAACAACCGCATGTTAATGAATACAGGAACAACTCAAGCAACTGACTACCATGGCCAGAAGGATGCCAGTATATCCCTCTACAGTGAGTCAGAGACTTTCTTTAAAACAATATGACTAATCATAGGTTGTTTGTGAAAGTGTTTCTCAAGAAAGGCATTATGACACTCTTTCAAAGGAAAAAAACAAAGATTTTGGGAGAGAGAAACGTGATTTTTTTGGACACGAAGCACTCAACCTCTTTTTTCTAATTTTCTTTCTTTTCTTTTCTTTTCTTTTCTTTTCTTTCCCTTTCTTTTCTTTCTTCCTTCCTCCCTCCCTCCCTTCCTCCCTCCCTCCCTCCCTCCCTCCCTCCCTCCCTCTCTCTCTCTCTCTCTCTCTTTCTTTCTTTCTTTCTTTCGTACTGGGTATCCTACTTATTAACTTTTTCATTTTTGTGTGAAATACATCCCAGAGATCTACTTTAATGCTCAATTTTTGGCATGATAGATACTTAGTCTTCATGAAAACTCTGAAGATTACTCCTTGGTCCTATTCTAATAATACATATAAAAGAAGAAATCTTACTGAAAAAAATAGGCACTTGGAAACTCAGAGGTCTCACATACAAAAGGAAAGCCAAATATTTGTGGTAGTTAGTCATCATTATAAATAGATTTCACAGCAGCAAATCAACTGTAACATTAAATAATTCTGAAATAAAAGTAAACATTTTGTAAAAATATAACATGATGGAGCGGAAGGTTAGTTCATTATGGGTGGATGTTAGAAATAGGTGTTCTTAGAATTTAATGTTTCTACTTAATATTAACACTGAAATTTTAGTTCCTGGGGAAAATAATGACTATGTAGCATACTGGAGTTTTCTCTTTTTCACAAAGTAGCCAGACTGCCATTACTCATTATCCATTTCTCAAGCTCCAAATTGAAGGGAAAAAAACCTTATTAACTATCTCATAAAATAGGTAAAATTCTTCATTCTAGTATTTTAGCCAAGAAACAAACTAAAAACGTAAAGGTGATCCACAGCCAAGGAATTATTTTCAAACTGTAGTAAGAAGGAACTGTACTCACTCAAAATAATCAACACCAATATTAATACAGAATAAAATACACACACACATTAAAACGACCGTCCCCACACCCCTAACAAAGGCGTGCTTCTCAAGCTATTTTCATTACTGGCCATTTTCTTTAAGAGATTTCCTAAAAGTCAGTTGTCTTTGACAGTGGAGTGTTTCTTTCTGGGTCCTTCTCATGGCCCGCTTGAGAATTTTACTAAATTAGCCAGACAGAGTTCCAAGTACAGCTGTCTAACTACCTGTGGTATCGGTCAAGACTGGGTAAGTAGTTTTCGGTTGTCTAGTGGGTTTGGAGCCGAAGCCCACTGTCTAATGGTTCTCAGTGCTCACGGACCAGTGGACTGTGGTACCCTGTGAAGCCGTGATTGTGCACCTGAATGGCTGGGTAGATAGTAACTTACTTTTTATCCAAAGTTGACAACTTTTCAGTAAACATTTAATTTGAGGTGCACAAAAAAGTATGTTTCTGTTCAATAATTGACTTTATTATTTCTTAATTTTGCCTGTGGACTGAATAGTTTGGTCAGCTGATACAGCAAAACATGAAAAATCTGAAAACAGACGCATCTCAAAGTATTCTAAAGAATTAACGTCCTGAGAATACTGATGGTTTTATGTTTCTCATACTAAAACTTTACGGTAGTTGGTTATCATAAAAATATACAAACATATCTCAGTGGAAATATACTGAGCATCTTTATAAACATGAGGGCATTGAATAAAAGCTAGGAAACTTCACACAAAGTTGTATAAATTTTTAAAAATTACAAGGTGACCACACACTAAAATATGTATGTTTCAAGAGAGAAATAGCAGATGTCAATGGTAATTTTTCTGAAGTAAAATATGAACACAGAATAAGTATCAGAGAGAAAAGAAGAGCTCTTTAGGATATCAGCAGGTGCTTCCAAAAGTGAATATAAATAAATACCTTTAAAAAGGGAATTCACCTTCCTTTTTAACTTCTTATATGTGAGCCACATCCCTATACCAAAGTTCAAAAAGCCAATGCTCCAATGGTTCCTAAACCTTCGAGTTAAAATTGTTGAGAGGCTTTTATCTCTTTACTCAATAAGAATATGGTGAAATGAGATCATTTGCATTAATTTTGCATTTTAATCTTTGTTACTATGAAAAATAAGAGCACCATTTCACTGCAGTCTGCTTGCTGACACATATTTATTTTTGACCCTGTTTTTTCAGTGTACCCTAAAATAGCATTATGTAGTATGTCATCGGTTCCTGCTACTTCCAATATACATAGGCCTACCATAGAGTACGTCATTGCATTTCACTGTTTATGTACCTACATCCCTTTGCTAGATTGTGAGCTGTTTAAAGACAGAAAATATGTTTTATCGCTCTCCCAGTCTTTAATCTATCATAATGCATAGCATGCAGTAGGTATTCTATAAATATTCCACTAAAAAGGTTCTAGATATTAGTGCAATTCAACCTATCTACCATGTTTTAAATTCAGAGTATTCACTTCTGCGTCCTATTTCAGACTCGCCTTTTATTTTAAAGTTAGGCAAACAGGCAATCCAACCTTGTTTCTCTGTGTTAAGCTAACATGGGCATTTAAAAAAATAATACGCCACTATGATTTTCACTAAACTAGGAAAGGTTATTTTGGAGCTGCTGGGACTTTAGATATTTGAAGTAGTAATTATTTCCTCCATAAATGTTACCTTTTACAGTCAAATACTGCTTTCCTGTAGCAGTTCAACTTTTTACTTAAAGGAAAATGTCTTTTATTTACAATTCACCATACTATACTCTTATATGTGGTAATTCTCCTTTGATGTGTTTTGGTAGCACTGTAAAGTTGATGAAGCATTATCATAATAGAATAACTTACATTTATTCAGTATTTATTTTGTGGCAAGTATTTCACTAAGTACTTTACATGAGCTATGCCAATTAATATCCACATAAAATTTATGATTTGTGTGATTTTATGTATTTCTATCTCTCTACATATCTAGTCTTAGACAGGCAATTTTCTGACTATTAAGTGGTATGGACAGGATAATAATTCCCGAAGAACCAACTCCAGGTTTGTTGTTCTTGGTTCCTTAAAGATCTGATTATCCAGCAACAAAACCTGATACCATATATTGCATAATTCTAGAACCATGACCCATTTTAGTGAAGTACTTGTGTTAGCAATTATAAAGCAAACAAACAACATATGTTAGATTGTACTTAATTAAATGCTATCAAGTTACTGCAACCAAGACTCTAAAAGTATTTTTTCTATATTGACTGGAAAGGATAGCAACTCTTACCTTATGATCATCAGCATTTCATATTAAAGTTGATTGTTATCATTTATAACTTACCGTAGACTTGGGTTTGGTTCCAGAACTGGCCACTTGGGTAGAAGATGGTAGGTCAGTGGATTCGGTGTTAGAAGACAAATTTATTTGCGTCTGATTTATTGAAATGGTGTCTGCTCCACTCTCAGATCCTGACTCCAGATCCTATTAGAAAAATGTATTGATATGAAAGGCATGTACATGCTCTCTGCATATCTTTTTCCCTGCCACCCGCATTTTTCCACCTCCTCCTTTTTCCAACACACTCTGACATGCTAAAGAGTTGCTGACAGCAGGGGTGCCTGGGTGGCTCAGTTGGTTAAGTGTCCAACTTTGGCTCAGGTCAGGATCTCACTGTTGGTGAGTTTGAGCCCTGTGTCAGGCTCTCTGCTGACAGCTCAGAGCCTGAAGCCTGCTTCGGATTCTGTGTCTCCCTCTCTCTCTGCCCTTCCCCTGCTCGCATTCCGCCTCTGTCTCACTCAAAAATAAATTAAAAAACTAAAAAAAAAAAGTTGGTGACAACTGACAGTGACATGTCACCCATAACCATGCATTATTTTGTAATAACAACTGTACTCTTCAGAGGGTCTGATTTTAGAGGGCAAATACTGGTAATTCTTTGGTGATTAAACAACTCATTGAAAATTGGAAGGGCAGTAGTGAGAGCTAGTTGGGGCACTGTAGTTAAGTCAGGAGTTAGAGGCTCATAGATAACCTCTTACTCACTATATGATCATCAGTAACTAACTTCACACCTTTCATGCAATAGGGTCATTGTGAGTGTCAAATGAAAAGACAGTTCTCATTTCTTCTCACCTTACCCTCTTCTATGTTTCCATCAGACCTCCACAGTGACACCTACCACAATGGCTTGAAATCATTTAGCTCAAGTGTCTATGTGCCTAATAAACTATGAGCTGTATGAGGGGTAGGAGTTCTCTTTTGACGTGTGTAATTCAATTCTCCCATTTGGAAATGGGTGTGATAGAGTTCTGGTTCAAGATGGTGACATAGGAAGACTCTGATATCACCTCCTCCATGGAACATACCAAATTAGACCTATTAATAGATTAGTTCCTCGTGAAGGAGAACTAAAGATTGACTGAACAGCTACTGAACCTCCAAAGACATAGAGAATGGCAAGAGAACAGCAAGAAAGATGAATGGGAACCAAGAGAACCCCACCCCCAACACTGCAATCAGCAATGGGGAGGGATAGTACTGACAGACGAGTAACAGATCCCTCTGTCTTTGGGCACAGAAAAAAAACACTGTGTAAGAGAGCAACTAGCACAGAAAAGAGACTTCACCAGAAGGCTGCCAAGCTACAGAGGAGGTGTGAGAAACCTCTCCAGGTCAGGGAGACTGAAGAATGACCTGGTTTATATTCCCACCCCACCCTGAAAGCCTAGACTGGAGCAGGGTCCAGACACCAAAACAGGCAGGTCCAGTCATCTCAGTGAGCTTGTGACTTCAGCAAGCTCAGGGTCCACAAGCCTATACTAGCCCTAGTCATGTGGGCACAGAAAAGAGAAGCCAGAGTTTAAAAGGGCTGAGGAGCTGTGGGAATGCTCTCTCCTCCTCGACCTTAAAAGCCCAGGCCATAGTAGGATTTGGCTTCCATGAAGAGAAGACTTGGAAACCATAAATGGAGGGTCCTGATACCCTGGAGGCAGGTCTTGGTGCCATAACTGATGGATCTAGTCACCACAGGGAGGCTGCCATCTCGGTGAGCACAGGGCCCACAAGCCCACACTACTTACCCTGTAGTGCTGGGGCACAGGAAACAGGCCATGGTTTTGTGGGGGTTTTATTATTTAAACTTTTACTTGTTTTAAATATTTATTTATTATTGAGACAGAGAGAAACAGAGCATGAGTGGAGGAGGGGCAGAGAGAGAGGGAGACACAGAATCCGAAGCAGGCTCTAGGCTCTGAGCTGTCAGCACAGAGCCTGACGCAGGGCTTGAACCCATGAACCATGAGATCATGACCTGAGCTGAAGTTGGATGTTTAACCACTTAACCACTCAGTCGGATGACTGATTCACCCAGGCACCCCAAATTTTTACTTTTTTTTTTTAACTTTTATTCATTTTTAAGTGACAGAGAGCAAGTAGGGGGAGAGGCAGAGAGAGAGAAAGAGAGAGAGAGAGACAAACAGAATTTAAAGCAGGCTTCAGGCTCTGGGCTGTCAGCCCAGAGCTAGAATGGAGATAGAGGGAGATAGATTGTGAGTAGGGGAGAGGCAGAGAGAGAGAGAGACACACAGAATTCGAAGTAGGCTCCAGGCTCTGAGCTGTCAGCACAGAGCCTATTGCTGGGCTCGAACTCACAAGCTGTGAGATCATGACCTGAGCTGAAGTCAGACGCTTAACTGACTGAGCCACCCAGGTGTCCCTAAAATTTTACTTTTTAATTATATATATATATATATATATATATATATATATATATATACACACACACATATATAAGATATGCATCTATAATTTATATATATATGTATACATTATATGCACATATAATTTATATATATGTATAAATATATATATTTTTCTTTTTAAAATGTATCTTGTTGGGCACCTGGGTGGCTCAGTCAGTTAAGCGTCTGACTTTAGCTCAGGTCATGATCTCACGGTCTGCAGGCGCTGACAGCTCAGAGCCTGAAGCCTGTTTCTGATTCTGTGTCTCCCTCTCTCTCTGCCTATACCCTGCTCATGTTCGATCTCTCTGTCAAAAATAAAGAACCATTAATTTTTAAAAACTGTCATCTTGTTTTAGTTTTTTCTTTTTGATTTTGTTCCTTCTTGTTCTCTTTTTTCTTCTTTTTTCTTTTTTCTTCTATTTTCTTACTTTCTTATTTTATTTTATTATTATTTTTCTTATTCTTTCTGTAAAAGCCATTGTTTAAAAAAATAACTACCATATACAGCTAAATAACTACCATATATAGCTCCGGCCAGCCAGCAAAAGTCACTAAGCCCACAGTCTGCATAGGGGACACCATACAGAAGGCAACTCCTTAGGCTTTAGGAGAAGTAGCTGTTTCACCTAATCCATAGAAACAAACACAGGAAGTCAAGCAAATGGGGAGCTAGAGGAATATGCTACAAAAGAAAGAACAAGAAAAATTCTCAAAAAATAACTAAATGAAACAGAGATAAGCAACATGCCTGATAAAGAATTTAAAGTAATGATCATAAAGATGACCACCGGGCTGGAAAAAAAAAAAAAAAAAAAGAATGGAAGAGCTCAGTGAGACCCTCAAAAAAGAGAAAGAAAATATTAAAAAGAACCAAAACAAGTTGAAGAATACATAATGGAAATAAAAAACATACTAAAGGGAATCATCAGTACATGAGACGATGCAGACAAATGTATCAGTGATCTGCAAGAAAGGATAATGAAAAACACACAATCTGAATAACAGAAAAAGAAAAAAAAAACATTTTAAAAAATGAGAATAGATTTAGAGATCTTGGACAGCATTGAGTGAACAAAGATTCTGATTACAGGGATCCCCAAAGAAGAGAGAGAGAAAGGTGCAGAAAACTTTTCTGAAGAAATACTAACTGAATACTTCCTTAAGCTTGGAAGGAAATAGACATCTAAGTCCAAGAAGCACAGAGAGTTCCAAACAAGATGAAACTAAGGAGGTCCATGGTACGGCTAATAAAATGTCAAAGGTTAAAGATAAAAAGAGTATCTTGGGGCGCCTGGGTAGCTTAGTCAGTTAAGCATCCGACTTTCGCTTAGGTCATGATCTCACGGTTCGTGGGTTCGAGCCCCGCGTCGGGCTCTGTGCTGACTGCCAGCTCAGAGCCTGGAGCCTGTTTCAGAGTCTGTATCTCCCTCTCTCTCTGACCTCCCCCTGCTCACGCTGTCTCTCTCTCTCTCCTAGAAATAAATAAAAATATTAAAAAAAAAAAAAGTATCTTGAAAGCATCAAGAGAGAAACAGAAAGTCACCTACAATGAAAAACCTATGAGGCTATCAACTAATTTTCAGTAGAAACTTCGTAAGTCAGAAGGGAGTGACATACATGATATTTCAAAGTGCTTAAGTAAAAAAAAAAAACCCTATAAACAAGAATATTCTATTTGACAGGGTTCTCATTTGGATCTTAAGAAGAGATAAAGAGTTCTCCAGACAACCAAAAGATAAAGGAAGTTATCATCACTATACCAGCTTACAAGAAATGTTAGAGGGACTTCTTTAAGTGGAAAAGAAGTGGCCATAATTAGACATAAGAAAAATATGAATAAAAATAATAAACAAAATATGGCCACATATGCATAAAATGTCAAACAGGGAGCAAAAAGGAATGAGAGAAAAAAAGAAAAAGCAAAAAAATTTTCTTTCCTTGGGGCGCCTGGGTGGCTTAGTCGGTTAAGCGTCCGACTTTCGCTTAGGTCATGATCTCGCGGTTCGTGGGTTCGAGCCCCGCGTCGGGCTCTGTGCTGACTGCCAGCTTGGAGCCTGGAGCCTGTTTCAGTCTGTGACTCCCTCTCTCTCTGACCCTCCCCTGCTCACGCTCTCTCTCTCTCTAGAAATAAATAAAAAAAACCTTAAAAAAAAAAAAAAAAAAGATGTATCCCCCAAATGTTTATTGCAGCATTATTTACAACAGCCAAGACATGGAAGCAATATAGGTGTCTGTCAACAGATGAATGGTGTGTGTGTGTGTGTATAAAACGGAATACTACATGTGTATATATACATATTTAATGGAATACTGTGTATGTGTGTGTGTGTGTATATATATATATATATATATATATATATAGTGCGTCAACTATACTCAAATTTAAAAAAAGAAATGGGTATAATAACAGTGTGCACTCACAAAGCTTCACAAGGATTAAACAAGATATATGCAAAGCACATGTAACTGGCACCTAATAATTTTCATTAAATGTTTGCCATTATTATAAACACTGTATTATTAATATCACAATGTCTTACTAAAGTTAGTACACAGTATGTATATAAGACATGTCTGCTGAATGAATGCAATTACTTGGTAACTTCATCAAAGGCAGTACATTAATCCATCAAATGTTCTCTTTGTTATAAGGTGGCCTCAGAGCATAAAGAAAAGTTGAGGGTGACAGGAATACAAAGGGGAAGCAGCAGAGGCATATATCACTCTACAATTTTAACC